GATCGCGCACCTATTCATTGTTGCATTCCATCGTTTAGTGTGTGCATTTCTCTTTTGAATTATAGTTTCGAGAATTATTTTATTTCGAGAATAGTTTGAATCTTAATTTTTTAAATCTGTTTATAATTTCCAATACTAAATTGTTCACCATATGTGTTATATTAACCAAATAATCATTGTGCTTCTCATCGGAGAACAATACTCGACACAATTTGACACTTATGCTGACAACAATAATATTACATGTGACATATTTGTTCGTACATACAATAATGTGGTCATAAACGTTCTTCCAGTTGCAATTATACACATGTGATATATTTGTACATGCATATAAGTAACTTATTAAACACCAAATCACATGGGTTGAATTGTAAAACAAACTTAAGTTGTATAGCAATTGTTTCTGTTATGTTATGTTTCTGTTTCAGTGGAGTTAATAATACTAATAACAACTTATTTACTGATATTGCGAATGTGACAGACACGCCCGATGCATGACAGAAGAATAGAATATTACAAAAACAGAAAATAATAATATACAGAAACAAGCACTAATACATTTTCAAAAATGAACAAATGGTTATTGAAATGGTTAAAATAGTTCGATACTGTTTTTGATAGCGTGTGGTAAGCCGTTCAATAAAACTAAACCAGTAACAGGAAACGCCCTACCACCACAAGCTACTAAATTAGATTTTGGTACAACACACTGGTTAGAGAAGCGTAACCAAGATGCCAGTGGCATGTATCATATCATCATGTCGCTTATATAGACTGAGGCCTTGTATCTTGAACTCTAATTTTAACCAATGTAGTTTAATAATGGTTAGAGTGATATGATCATATATTTCACTGCAAACGATAAGCCGAGAAGCAGATTCTGAGTCCTCTGCAATTTAGAAATCAGAACACTGAATAAATCAGGAAATTACAGTAGTCTATTCATGAACTGACAAGACCGTGTACAAACATTTCGATAGTTTTAATGGATAAACATTTCATAATTTGTGATATTCTTTGAATGTGATAAAATGATGTTTTACAGCTGTATACAATATGTATGGTTAGCACCATCTACCTGTTAAACATAACACCATGTGTCCGTACACTATTCGTCACGGAAACCAATGTACCATCAATGTCTACATAATCTATACTGTTTTTTGCTGTGGCTGTCCAATTAATACAAGTTGACAGCTTTTAATTTTGACATAAGTATGTATATACGGGACTTAATATCGTAAATTATCCTGGCCATTCATGGAATTGAGCTCAAACTTTATGTACCCAAAACGATTTTTCAAATCAAATCCAGCAAGTTTTGCGCTCACCCAAAATTTCTACAGGAACACTTTCAGTACTATAGAACCTCTTATTGGCTGACTATTGAATTCTTGCTAATATGAAAAAATGATATCCAGCCAAATCTATATTGCCTTATTCCTAATGTAAAAACAGTGGAGATAACATGATACAACTTTGACGACTGGTCCAGTTACTCAATAGCACCTGGCTCTAAAACCAAACCAAACCTGTGCAACTATTTGACGGGTCGTATATTATCCCCACGAACCACATCATCACTCAGTTCTAAGCATTTGTTTTCACGCCACACTCATACATAATCAATTGGACAATGATTGTGCAATTAAATTCACCGCCGTTTATCATCATCGTTTAATCTATATTGAGTATATATTTACAGACTATTCCGCATCAAGTTGTACCAAAATGATTTTTGTGCCAACTGATCTTGTATCACTACTGGTGTTGTTGATGACAATGCTCTTAGCATGGATAACTACCCAACACTACCTGGCACCTTGCAAGAACTTCCCACCCGGACCTTGGGGCTTACCTATCATTGTTAGCTTTATGTACTTCGGATCTGACATACACACAGACATGATGAAACTCTCAAAGAAATATGGTGATGTTTATAGTCTGAAGATGGGATCTCATACAGCCATTGTTGTCAGTGGAGTGAAGGCCATACAAGAATGTCTCGTGCAGAAAGGAAATGATTTCGCTGATAGACCTGATACGTGGACGATCGACCTCTTTAACCCAAGATGTGAAGGTACACATTTCTAGCAGTGGATTGTCAGTCGTTTCTCCAAATTTCAAATGATACAATGTTATGTAGTGTTATGGTATAAATGTATATCCTTCAACAGGTATTGTTCGTGGTCATTTCGACAATAAATGGCAACACCGTCGGCAATTCGCCCATGCAACGCTTAGAAGCTTCGGATTTGGTAAAACATGTATGGAGAGTAAAATATGTGAGGAGATCTTGTTTTTGTTAGACGAATTTCGGGTAAGACTATACTATAAACCCAAAATCTGATATAATTCACTCTATTTAATAACAAATTGCTATTATCGCTGACAAGCTTTCAGTTCATGTCAATGGAAGGTTATCATATATCCCATGATTTGATTTGCATGTTTCTGCATGGCTATTCTGTGGCTAGACTATTCACTTAGCATGTATAATACGTAGTACAATACCCTTTGTATAAACAATTTCTCCAAAATAAATTCAGTTCACGCAAAAACAAAAATATCCACTGTGTGATAATAATTTTATCTTATTTTAGGATATTCAAAATCAACCTATCAACGCAGGCAATATCATTAACAGGAGTGTTTCCAACATAATTTGTTCAATAACGTTTGGTAAACGATTCAAATATTCTGATCCAAATTTTATTTTCATTGTTGATATCTTGTGTATGTCTTGGATTTTCTACCATTTCTGAGACCATTTAACCAGTCAAATATAAAAACTTTCATTGCAACTCGTAAAGATGTTGAGAAGTTCTGCAAACAGCAGATTGATGAGCATCGTGAAGTATTTGATCCAAACCACATTGGAGACTACATCGATGCATGCTTGGCTGAGCGGACCAAACACAATAGCAAAGTAGATTTCACTGATGATCAGTTAAAATTTATGTTAGTGGATATCTTTGGCGCCGGCACTGAAACTGTAGTGACTACACTTATATGGGGATTACTGTTTATGGTTCTACATCCAGAGATACAGGAGAGAGTGTATAATGAATTAGATCAGGTATGTGAGGCATATATTTATATATCTATATGATTATATATGATTTTCGAATGATCTGCTCAAATTCAACAGCATTCATGTAAATGATTCTAGCAATTGTACGAATTGGATAAAGTCCCAACTGATGTAATCTTGGTTTTTTAAATCTTGAACAAAGGTTGTTGGAGCAAATCGCCTTCCGAGACTCGATGATCGTAAACACTTGCCTTATACGGAAGCCACTCTTTTGGAGATACAACGAAGTGGAAGTATTCTACCATTCGCACTACCACATCGTGCCTTGAGAGATACTACTCTTGGTGGATACAATATTCCCAGTGGAACTGCAGTCACTATATTACTTTGGTGAGTGATATCTGTACGTATTCAGTGAGCAGCTGGCCTAATTATATGCGTATTGTCGCCTGTGTACTATACATAATCACTATATATGAGCATAATATAATTAGAATAATTGGAAGAAATTGATCAACTGCATACAATGTACATTCAGGAATACTTGGTTAATAAATTAGTGTACAGTCGTACTCGAGATGTTATGAGGTGTATTATCTTTAAAAACATGGTGCCAATTTGCACTAATTCTTTTTTATAATAACCCTTGCAACAGGTCGATTCATAGAGATCCAAATACGTGGCCAGATCCAGACAAATTTGACCCTATGAGGTTTTACGATGAAAAGAACAATACAGTCAAGAAGTCGGAAAATTTCATGCCTTTTTCTGCAGGTGAATATGTTTTATTGTGAATGTTTTCTTGATTTGTGTTTACGTTAGGAGTTTTGTAATACGTAATGTCACAATCCGATGGGGGTATAAGGCTCCAATTCATTTTTTCTATATTTTATTGTAATTTTTGAATAGTTTTTGATTTACTTGACGTTGTTTTGTTTTGTATATGTCGTACCTCGGTCGCCTTAACTACATCTGACTCAATGCAATATCGTGCAAATCTAGCTTAAGAGTCAACCAATCAGAGCAGGGGTTACCAACTTCTGAAAATATAAAGAGGAGAAAAACAAAATACCACGTGTTTCTAAAATCCAACTAGTTTAAAATAGTTTTATTATTTTTATCTATGGTGAATACACCATGTAAAATAAATCTGTAAACTAAATCTTGCTAGGGAAGTAAATATTTATTCCATGTGATGAAAGATGTTCTGTATCTGTAACTTGTTCCCGAATAGTTGAAATAGGTCATTTTGCACTTGTGCATGTCTTTACCATGAAATATTAGATCAAAATACCAGTCCAATAAATGAATTGAAGATGATAAAGTATCACAAGTTCTGAACTGCAGAATTTCTCACTATAGCACCAGATTCCAAGCTTGTCCATTAAAAACAACCAGCTCAATTGCTCTGATACTTGGTATCAAATTGCGCTGGCAGTTTTCAAGAAGAATTCATTGCTCGACTTTGCTACCACAATGTTCTCATTGTAGTACAAATCACAGACATCGACTCATGGCCTGATATGATCGACAGTTTGCCAAATATAACCAGAGATATGGGTGAATGCAAGTGTTGATGAAAACACAAGACCTGTGACACAACCCCACCGCCGTATTCTTTTCCATGTGAGAAAACAAGTTGAAGAAAACCTAAATTAGCTTGAAAAAGAGGACACCATCGAGTGCGCACAAGGTCACCTTGAGTTCACCCAATTCTAGTATCAGAACCCAACAGGCCCAACAAGATTAGAATATGCTCGTAGTTTAAAATTGTTTTAAACCACTAGAAATATGTGTGACGATATCTACATTGGTGGCATCGATAAAACAGATCACGACAAGCACCTAGAGCAAGTTTGCAGACAACTGCACGACAATGACTTCACAATCAACCAACATTTTTACATACAAATGGGTAAACTCGATACATTCCTCTACAAGCTAGCACCATAATTTGTCTGCTTTAAGCATGAACATGCTATTTACCGGACAACTGTTGAAGGAATGGAGGAATTAATCTGCCAGCAAGAAGCACAATGTGTTTCCATTGGAATGCCGATACTTTGTTAAAAATATATAATACTATATAGGTCACGTTTCACGATTTAACTGCACTTCTAATTAACGTTCGGAGAAGGTTGGAGGAAAATGCAATAGCCAGCTGGATTTAAGTCTCACGTCTTGATTGTGTTATGCATTTGTAGTTTTGTATTTCAATGTTGTATTTTTGTAGGTCGACGTGTCTGTATGGGTGAACAGTTGGCAAAACATGAATTATTTCTATACTTCTCAGCCATGATGCATCAGTTCAAGTTCACCTTGCCAGTCGGAACCAAGAAACCCTGCACTGAGGGTGTTCTGGGTATAACATTGGTCCCCAAACAATATGACGTTGTCATCAAAGAAAGACACACTTGATGTGTTTGTGTGATGTCATTATTTGTATTATATGGAACATGCACACACATGTGGATTTTGAATATTTTTACTAACATTAGTGTTGGATTTCAATAGAACATTGACATACAAAAGTATATATATATAACGTACATAACAAGGTAAAGACGTGTCATGTTTCAATGGGCACACATTAAAAACCATATAAAATAGTTTAGAACATTTTGGGATAATATAGGTTGGGAATTGCCATTGTACTATTATACAGTTAAGATGAATATTGTTTTAATCAAAAGGCGCCATTGCTGGCTATCACAAAATGCGTCAATATCGAAATAGGTTGGTTGTTTACTATATTATTTTATAGGAATTACATAATTTGAATATTTTTAGAAGCATAATATAAAGGCGCAAATATTCGAGACGACATTTCAAATACCCCCAAACTGAATTATTGGAACAAATATAATTTACTACACTATGTAATAAAGTAATACATTTGATATTGTAGAGACACTCGTGAAATGTTTTCTATCTGTAACTCAAATTGGTTCCAACTGTCATTATTTTTATGTTTAGACTACATTTATGTTATGTAAATATCACTATATTGAAATAATGTATGCAGGAATAATAAAGGAAGTTGATATATTTATTGTGTGTTGTAAGACATGTGAAATGTTCTTATATGGAGGGGAAAATATACCTGTATGAAATATTCTGTATATAGTGATTTATTATAGAAAATAGCAAAAGCGCAGAGATAATATAAATTAACAATTATTTCAACTAATGGTATATATTTATCATGTCATGTTCTTTTCAGTACGTTGTTCGTGAAATTGTGTGGAACTGCTTTTTCCTATTGAGTTTGAATGAGTGTGAAAATCATGTGACGTTGTGCTATTTTAGCAATCAGGGTACCGCTCTTTACTGAGCATATAGTATTTGAAGTAATAACCATGCTCATTCAGGAATCCAAAGTTGTATTAATATGTTTATTTACAAAACGTGTAACGTACATAACACAAACTATTATACATTTCAAAAGTTAAGATCAATAATACCTAGTTTCTGTTGCAATTAGGGGAAATGTTAGTCCTGCTAAAGATAAAGTAATGTGACCACAAAAGCAAGATTGTTGCATATCTGTTGTCTTTTATCTGATCACAAATTTCTACATATTAATATGCAATCAAATTGGATATTAACATCATTGGTCATGTGACCATGTAAATTGTTTCTGAATAAATTTGTAGTGTCTGGTCAGTAATTGGGAGTGAATAATATGTTAATATAATGTCAATACAAATCAGATTTTCAAAATTTGCAATCTAATATATGGTCACAAACTTATTTGCTATTTTTTGTATCCAAACTCAAGTAAGGTGCATGTCTTTAGTATCGTAATCGTGTGTTATGGTATTACACAATTAAACAAACACAAATTAAAACACTTTACAAATTTATGAGTACGAAGAATAAACCCAACACGAACGTGTAACAAGTGACTAACATACAATGTATGTTTGGGATTATACAACTTTGTGTCAGTTAAAGTTTACTCATCAGATCTATATTTGTGATCTGTTGTATAAGTTGATATGCATGTAGGGGGTAATCGAACCATTCATAAATATATTTGCAACCAGAAACGCACATATCATTAATCAAATCACTAACTGGACATGTATCAATTTGTTTTAAATATCAATGAAGAGGGTAAATGTGTGAAAAGATATAATAATATAGCAAAATATTAAGGAAATTGCTGTCAGTCGATCATATTTGATGCAATTGTGAAACTAGATGCCTTGACACATTTAATTGAAGAAAAAACATGTTACCGATACATTTTGTAAAAAAAAGATGGCTGCCAGTCATCATGTATTATGTATGTACCAAATTTGAATGAGAACTGACAAAGCATTCCACATTTTCAAAAAAAAGATGTCTGCCAGTCGGCCACATTCGATTTGATTATGAAACCAACTGACGTAATTGTAATGTTGTTATCTGATATGTAAACATCGTATCTGTTCCTGCCATCTGGCGCATGAGTCATGGTCATTGCTATAAATAAATCACTTGTACTTTAGCATTGAAACGGGTTGTATCTAGTCTTACTTGCTCCCTATTACCCAGGCATTGATATACGGGGTTGTCAATACGTTACATTGGCGACGACGGATTCAGGAACTCATGGCGTCCGAAAGCATCCCTCACTATGAACCATTCCAAGTCCACGAGGAACCTAGCACCTCTGGAAAAAGGTGGGAGGAATGGTTGGAAGGATTTCAAATCCTGATGATCGCGTGTGACATCACGAGCACTAAGAGACAACGAGCTCTACTTATCCACTACGCGGAGAAAGAAGTACGACGTGAAATCAAAGCACTCCCAGACACCGGCGAAGAAGACGATGTCAAGAAACTCATCGAAGCTCTCAACAAACGTTTTGCTCCAAAACGAACGAAAGCGTACGAAAAACACGTGTTTCGTCAAGCAAAGCAAAAAGATGGTGAGTCGACGGTACCACGCCCGGTTACAACTTCTTGTGGCAAACTGCAATTATGCCAACCCTGACGAGGAAGTTTGCACACAAATCATTGAACACTGTACGTCGCAAAGACTAAGACGGCGAGCATTGAGAGAAGACATGAAGCTAGAAGACTTGTTAAACTTTGCCAAAACGATGGAAGTCTCTGAATCTCAGGCTGCGGACATCGAGGGCAACCTGCATGCGTCAACAGTCAACGCAGTTAGCCGAGGCTTCAAGTCTAAACATAATAAACGTGGAAAACCAAAACGGGTAGCCATCAATGAATCGCGATCAACCTCTCGATTATGCTACTTTTGTGGGGGCGATTATCCTCATGACGGACCGTGCCCGGCAAAAGGCAAGAAATGTAAATCATGCAGGAAAGATGGACATTTTGCCAAAGTTTGCAGATCCAAACCAAACAAGGAAAGAGACCGCAAACCAAAACGATCTATAAGGCGAGTGGACGCTGACACAGATTCGAGTAGTGAGTCCAGCCGAGACACCGACCAAGCGACATACGTATTCGGTATACGCACGGAAACTATTCACGCAACCAAGGCAAAGTTTCCAACAGCTGACATCACAATTCACGGTAAGAAAATTAAATTCTTGATTGATACTGGTGCATCGATCAACATAATGGATGAAAGTGACTTTGAAAAACGGGAAAGTCAAGTTGAGACAGACTTATACAAAAGTATTTCCATACAAGAGTCAATATCCAATCGAAACCCTAGGCGAATTCCGGACAGACATCAAATGTAAAACGAATACTGGAAGAAAATCGCTATCGAATATATTAATTCATGTCGTCAAGCGCAACGGTAATTTCGGGGAATCGCTACTAAGTTTTCAGACAGCAGAAGATTTGGGACTCATACAAATAATTAAACAAGTCGGGAGACAGACCGCAACAGACAAACTAGTGAGCGAATACAATGATTTATTCACAGGCCTAGGCCGACGACTGATGAAATCATTCAAGATCTGAACAACTCCACAGTGTTTTCCAAACTTGATCTGAATCAAGGCTATCATCAACTCGAGCTAACACCGGCATCGAGGTACATTACTACATTTAGTACACACGTTGGTCTACGCCGGTATAAGCGACTCAATTTTGGAATATTATCGGCATCCGAAATATTCCAAAACGCTATTAGACAAGCAATCGAGGGTATACCAGGCGCAAAGAACATTAGCGATGATATACTCATACACGGCAAAATGCAGGAAGACCATCAAAACAGTCTGAAAGCTGTATTCCAACGACTACGCAAAAGAAAACTTACTCTAAACAAACGAAAATGTGAATTCAACAAATCAAATCTCATATTCTACGGTCATCGATTTTCAGCGGAAGGTATGTCACCAGACCCAGATAAAGTCGCGGCTGTCAAGAATGCCGAAGCCCCAACAAACGCAACTGAGGTGAGAAGTTTACTCGGTATGGTAACATATTTCTCACGATTTATACCCGACCTAGCGACTATTACGCAACCCCTTCGATTATTAACCGTAAAAGACACGGTATGGGAATGGTCGAGTACTCATCGTAATGCGCTCAAAGATCGATTAACATGCAATTCATTCATGGCATACTTTGATCTGAATAAAGAGACTGAAATCGTAGTAGACGCAAGCCCTGTTGGTCTAGAAGCAATGCTCACTCAGAAAAATGGTGATGAAGACGCACCACGAGTTCTGAGTTACGCGAGCAGATAACTTACTCCAGTCGAACAAAGATATTCTCAGACAGAACGCCAGGCGTTAGCTGTTGTATGGGCGTGTGAACATTATCATTTATACGTATATGGCAAACCTGTAACCATAGTAACCGATCACAAACCGCTAGAGCGTCTCTACAACAACCCAAATGCTAAACCGCCAGCCAGAATCGAGAGATGGGCTCTACGGCTACAAGACTATTTATTCAAGATCGTGTATAGGCCGGGAAAAGACAATCCAGCTGATTAGATGTCGAGACACCCGAACACGAAAAGCACGCCAAACAGGAGACAAGAGAAAGTCACTAAAGAATATATCAACTTTATCGCTGGTCATGCAGCACCCACGGCGCTAACCTTGGATGAAATCAAAGAAGAAACAAAATCTGATCCCACACTGCAAGCCGTAAACATGGCGATTAAAACTGGTAGATGGTACGACCACACGAATTCTTCAGACATCGATTCTACAGACATCGACCGAATTTCTTTCGAAATGGTGCGAAAAGAAAGGGAATCTCTAACACTGGTGTCAACTCAAGATCTAATTTTACGCGGATCACGAATTATCATTCCAAAATCGTTACAAGAGCGGACAGTTAGTCTTGCCCACGAAGGACACCAGGGTGTAGTCAAAACGAAAAGATTACTGAGAGAAAAAGTTTATTTTCCCAACATTGACAAGCTGGTGGAAAATAAAATCAAAACCTGCTTAGCCTGTCAAGCCGCCACACCACAAAATAGGCGCGAACCGTTACAAATGACGTCACTTCCTGACTACGCATGGCAACACGTGTCGATGGACTTCTGTGGGCCGTTCCCCAGCGGAGATTATTTACTCGTGATAATAGATAACTATTCCAGATTTGTTGTTGTTGAAATAATACGATCTACTTCATCGCGAATCGTAATTCCGATACTCGACAAAGTATTCTCGGAATATGGTATCCCTGAAATCGCAACATCAGACAATGGACCGCCGTTCCAGGGCCACGAGTTTAGAGACTTTGCAAGACATCTTGGTTTTAAACACCGTAAAGTTACTCCCCTATGGCCACAGGCAAACGGAGAGGCGGAACAAATGATGAGAACGCTAGGAAAAGCCATCCGCACAGCGCAAGTTGAAGGGAAGTCGTGGAAACACGAAATGTACACATTTCTGAGAAATTATCATGCGACACCACACAGCACTACTGGTCAGTCAAAATGTGGGTCTACGGGGTCGATAAGGCGTCTCTGAGTCAGCAGTGTTATGTATGTTGGGAGCTCCACAGCTGAAAACAGCTGGGACTGACAACACAGCTAGGACTGACAGTGATGGGGAACGCGTCCCCCTCCTTGTAGGAGACCATCACTGTGTTGTCTGTGTGGAGCAGAACTCTGTGGTCTCGAACTACAGGTAGAAAGTGTGGTAGTGCTAAGTGCACTGCTTTCAGTTCAAGCCAGTTGATATGGCAGTCCCAAAACTAATGCGGGGGCCATATACATTGGTCTTGATCGTCCAATTGATGCGCTCCCAACCCAAGGGAGGCATCTGTTACCAGAGTCATAGCTGTGGTGAGTGGGTCCAAGGGAACCTCCTGTCCGATGCTGGCAAGTGACGACAACCAGGGCAGGGCTTCCTTCGCTTGGTCCGAGATCAATACCCACCTGTCTAGTTCCCATAGGTGAGCTCGGTGTTGTAGCAATAAGCATTGTACCCTTTGAGCGGCATTAGTTCTTGGAGGGACACTGAGGGAATGCTGACCAGGTGTTCGGCTAGGCTGCTTAGCACCAAGCAACATGCTTGAAATAGATATACCAAGCCTACCTATGTGTCAAACTCAATGCCCAGGAGCACCAACTGTTGCATTGGGTAGGAATGGAACTTGTCTGATTTACTAAAGAGCCCAACTGGTGAAGTCAATTCTGTGTAAGCCTTACTTGCTTGGCTAATAATCGCTTGTTTGAGTTATGTAATAACCAGTCGTCTAGGTACGGATTGATGTGTACCGACGTTTGGTGAAGCAGCAGCACCACCTGTCCCATCCATTCTGGTGAAACGAAGCGGGCTGTGCATAACCTGAAGGGGGCACCCGAGATTAAAATATATGGCCCAACTGGCCAACTCAAAGGAGATGGCAACTCGCCGGGTACATTGATATGTGCAGGTAGACCCCGCTCAACTCTAGTGAGGCTAGCCAGTTGAAAAGGTGGATGGAGAGAACGCTGAATGGCGTCTCCATGCAGAACCGATCGAGGAGCACATACTGATTCAGTCTGCATAGGTCCAGAACTGGATGCCCACCACCTGTAGATTTGGAACTACAAACACATTTGAGTAGAAGCCTTCACTCAATGCCGGCTGATCTACCTTGTGTATGGCGCTCTTTTCCAGCAAACAGTCTACTTCCTGTCTGATTGCCTCCACCTTGCGAGAGTCCCCTGGCAGTGCCCTCAATGGGGGAGACATTGACCGGGGAGATGGATAATTCAGCGGGATCCTGTAACCATATGTCACCACCTGTAAAATCCAGGGATCAGTCACCCGCCGCCTCCAAACTGGACTACACCGGCGAAATCTGTGTGCGACAGGGATATGTGTCCATGGGTTCAGCAGTTGCGAGGTGTGGGTGCTCTCTTCTCCAAAGAGGTGGATTTCCCCAAGGCCTGCAGTAGTCACTAAGTTGTGACCTGGCTATTCGCCGAACACATGCCCCCTGTTGCAGAGTAAAACAAGTGTAAAACATGCTTCCCTCGTTGCTGGAATGGACGATGGCCCATCAAGGATGATGAGCCACCACCTGGTTCCTTCTTCTCTGGGGGTGCACCACTACTCTTCCCTCCCGCTGAAGGGTATGAGCCCTTGCCTCCTGGCTGACTCTGGCTAGCGGATGTTGCCTTAGGGCGTTGTGTTTTCTGTGCTTGGGGCGCCCTCCGTTTACCCTTGTCAGTGACAAACTGGCTAGCAGATTTGATCTGAACCATCTGGTTTGTTGCATTCTGAAGCTCTGAGACTGCACCCGCCATCTCCCCCATCAAAGAGGGTGGAAGATGTCCAGTCTGTGTAACTGAGGTGGTGACATACTCCCTGACTCAGTTCGCAAGACAAAAACTCACGCGTCTAAGACAGCATCTCCTGACCCGAAAGTCCTGCCCCAAAATCGGAGGCTTGGCTGCCAGTATTCCCATTGATATTCAGTGCCGGAGGTTCCAGAAGCGACCCAGTGCAACTAGCCTGAGCCTTTGCCTCACCCAAATCAGTGGACGAGTCACAGCTGAGAATGGGAGGTTCACCGGAAGAGACATGTTTTGAATGCGAGCAATGCTTTTGTGTTTCTTCCTGCTTGTCGGCCGAAGGGCCGCAGTGGAGACAGCTCACTCCGACTGCATCTGATCTACCCAGCCTGCCAGGGACGATTTTTCATGGCTCTGGAAAACATCCCAGGCTTCAGAACTCCAGTGAAAAACACACGCCTTCAAGGCAAAAATCCTGAACGCTGCATGCAGTCATGGCAAAAATAGCATTTCAAATGCGGGTTCTATGCTGGTAAATTCTGATTATAACCACTGCACAGTCGCCTCGGAGACAAAACTGCATAAAATGAACACGACATGCATGAGGGAAGTGAAATACAGTTGGAAAATACGCAGAAAAAAACTTACAACGTGGTTAACCTGTGTTGCCGGGTTTTAAATTCTTGTAAAAAATTATACACAAAAACCGACACGGTGGTAAAAAAGAAGGTAGCAACTCAAGCCAGAAACCTGGACAGAAAACGGCAGCCTAGACTTCATCCCCATTGCTGTGGAGAAAAGAAAACAGTGAATGTCAAGGTGAGGTGGCGTAGCCACATTACCTCGGTCACGTGGTTCGTGACGTAAGGAAAAAATCTTAGGGTCATGGGGCTTCCCCTGACCTATATTGTATCTCTCCGTCATTTGCAGAATCGCTGATTAATGCCTACAGTTCAAAATATTCATTTTGACTGACCGGTGTCTATGGTGGGTAATTAAACGTAGTGAATTATCGTGCTGAGCGAAGACAAGGAAATCACTGATTTCATCTTGATACCACAAAAGGCTGACTAGAAAGACCATGACATTTGCTGCCGGTAACTCATACACACATTCGTATTAGTGTAGGGAATTCCAGAGGCTGTAGTAGTATTAATTGTTATTATTATCGATTGTATTGTTTGGAGATAATTATTTATTGTACGTGGTAATTTTACCAATATTGTGTTTTCATTACATGCGAGTGCCGTTATAGTCTGCATCTGGTTATTTATCGAAAGGTCCATATGACCCAGTTTATGAAGGGTAAAAAAAAAGGACCCAAAATCACGGGTATTGGGTGGTGTCCTTAACGGACCGGATTGTTTGTGCTGGCAATGTTGATAAAAAATCAAGAATATATTTATTCGCTAATCGACCGTTTTAATATTATCTAACTAAACATGTATATAGATTTATTTATTTATACAGACTACACAATTGTATATGTCCGTACAGCTACGGAAGTTCAGAGGAATACATATAGATGAAACCTACCATAGTAAAATAATTAGTTCCGTCCCCTTGGGAATAGTATATCCACCAAGTGAAGTGTCTTTCAACGCACAATGAGGTAGTGATAATGGTGCAATGCTACCAAATCGCTGTATTTCCAAAAGCGTGGCTTCAGTATAAGACAAGTTTTTACGATCGTCAAGTCTCGGGAGACGGTTTGCACCAACAGCCTGGAATCATGAGAAACCGAATAGTGGTCGGGATTACAAACAACGTGCAACATAAGGACACTCAATAGTTTGAAGCAGATGTGGCTATTTCACAATTATGCGATTTAAGATACACCCTGCTTAATTTGCACATGCATGTTGTATAGTACGTACCTGATCAATTTCATTAAACACTCTGTCCTGTATTTCTGGATGAAGAACCATTAATAGTAACCCCCATTTAAGTGTTGTCGCTGTTGTTTCAGTTCCAGCAGCAAAAAGATCAGCTAATGTGTGTTTTAACTGGTCGTCTGTAGATCTTTATTGCGTCTTGTTTCATTGTCTCAGCTAAGCATGCATCGATGAAATCACCTATGTTGTCTGGG